TCGGGGTTCAGAAGACTGGAGATAAACTTATTGGTATAAGATGTTTCCGGGTGTTCCTATCATGGGGTTCCCTTCTTTTGAACTCACATGTCAAGCCACAGAAGCAGCGTCAAGAGGATGAGTGATGATGGGCATCATCTACTTCATGACATATTCCAAGTCTTGAATGCTTCACAGTACCTTTGCCACACACGCCACGACGAAGTATCCTTTCAAACCCAGAGCCCTGAAATCTAAACCAAAGCCCGGAACCGCAAGCCGCTACTTATGCATGCTCTGCACCGTTTGGCCTAAAGCCTTTGCAATCCTACGAAGGCTCAGAACAAGGACTCAAAGAGTTGAAGAAGCTGGTTGCTCCAAGAACGATGTAGGCTTTAGGCTTAGGGTTTTGGAGGCTTGTTTTGTAAGCTCTGAAACCTAGCCTCAAGCTGTCTGTTGGAGTTTCAACTTGGATTCGTGTTTCGTGGAATGCCATACTTGAATTTACTCCGACTCTGATCCTTTCTTCCGAGTTTCGTAGGTCAAATGATGCTTCAGGGAGTCGAGAAAAGCCTCAAAGTTTGGTTCCGTTGGAGCTGGACAGCTGCGACCCCGAAGCTCCGAGGAAAGTTCGGTCGAAATCGGTCAAAGCCGGAATGGGGTCCGCTTCTTCGGCTACACAGGATATCGTGAGGGTATCAAACATTTCGCATGCTTTGGAAACCGCCTCAGACCTCCCGAAGCCCTCTGCCTGTTGGCGTCGATCTCTGAGTTGACGAGGAGTTTGCAAGATCGCGGGAATTGCATCCTGCGAATGCTAGTGGTTTTTCTGCCGCGCGACTCCGGCAGCTAGGTCAGGTGCGTGAGTAAAGTAAATAATGTAGTATCTTGAGTAGTTACCAATGTTATGGTCGTGAGCCTTTTCTTCTTATTTGTATGATAATATGTCCCAACGCTACCAAGAACAACGTGTTTAAACCGTGAAATCTTCGAGCTCGGCGAACTGCTTAAGCTGCCAGGCAGGTCGTCGATACCGCGTTCGATTCAGCCCCTCGGGCTTGAGGGTCTTTTCTTTATAGGGCTCCGGGCTTACTACGGTGTTTAAGTATATAGGGAAATGGTACAAGGAAATCTGGGAGGTTCAATTGCGGTGATTCTTGTGTTTCTCTTGGCGTAAGAATTGTGTGTCTTCGGGGAGCGGGGTAAAGCTTTGGGTTATAAATATAGTTGGTGCATGAGTAATCCTGGGTGGACGAGAGTGTCCAACCTGAAAATCTCCCGCAGAGTATCGCCGGATTCGGATTGTTGGACTTCTCACCCCCAGAACCTACCTGAAGTGCTTATTCCCTGAAGATCCCTGAAGTATCTCGCAGAGTATCCCCCGCCTCCAGAATCCACCGAGGCCGCCGAATGTGACCGCTTACCTTGGAGTGCCTATCCCCACAGTACTCCTTGATGGTCCCCGAAGTGCCCACTTGCAAAATAAAAATGTGTTGCAGGGCCTGCCGCGGACCAATCTTCTCACAGTACACTGTTCCCAAACTAACACTGAACCCCGAATCCCAAAATCCTGAATCGCACTACCAGTAGCACGGATAAGACTGTTCCGCCCTTTTGACCCGCAAGCACGTGGTTTTGCCAGGCTTCGACACTCCAGGCGCTGGGCTCTACGTCCAGGGCCCTGATCATGACAGCGGGCGTACGACTCTAAGGCAGCGGTTGAGGGCTCAGGATTTAGGGTCTCAGCTTCACTAGAACTTCAAGTCTTAATCATGGTCTGCCCAGCCCGAGTGCGAACATCGACGCCCTAAAATCCATGACGCGCCGTTTCTGTGGCGCATGCTCTCGGCTTAGCCTCTGCCTTCTCAGCCGAAGATGCTTAGATTTGCTCAACTTCATCGCACAAGCAGCAGTGTACTGCGAGAGAGAGAGAGAGAGAGAGAGAGAGACAGAGACAGAGACAGAGACAGAGACAGAGACAGAGACAGAGACAGAGAGCGAGCGAGAGCGAAGGAAGAAGAGACAGAGAGAGAGGCATCCGTGAACATGGTAGGGTCAGGTAAATTTTAGGCCCGGCACTGACCTGACGGAGGAGTTGCAAGTTGAGGCATTACCTCTGCATTTCGCTTCTCCATTATACTCTAAACTCGAATAATTAATGCTAAGCCGACAGCATGAGTTTGATGGGGACAAAGAAGGCTGCGCAAGAGGGTTCTTCCACATCCTCGCGGCGTGATAAGGAGCCTCGCAAGACCGTTTTTCCACATCTTTGCGGCTTGACGAAGAGCCTCGCAGGAGGGTTTTTCCACATCTTTAGGGCTTGACAAGGAGGATGACAGGCTTGAAAAGGAGTCTCGCAAGAGGGCTTTTCCACATATTTGCGGTTTGACGAAGTGCCTCGCAGGAGGGTGTTCCACATCTTTAGGGCTTGACAAGGAGTGTCACAAGAGAGTTTTTACCTTCGGGGCTTGAATAGGAGTCTCGCCAGAGAGTTTTTCCGCATCTTTGGCGTTTGACGAAGAGCCTCGCAAGAGTGTTGCTTTCCACATCTTTGCGGCTTGACATGGAGCTTCGGAGAAGAGTTGTTCGCAAAAACTGTGGAAACATTTGCGGAAACCCCGGCGGCGTTGCGAAAAAACTTGCGGTAACATTTGTGGAAACCCCGGCGGCTTTGCGGAAAGCGTTGTGGAAAACCTGCTTGTGCCATGTTAAAACGCGTTGAAGTTTAGAATTGAATTTTTCCACGACGTTTTCCGCAAGTTTTTCCACAACCACGACATATGTTTCCACAAGTTGTTCCGCAACATTTTCCGCAAAGCCGCCGGAGTTTCCACAAATGTTTCCGCAAGCTTTTCCGCAACCACGACATCTGCTTCTACAACTTCGCCCACAACCCGACATATGTTTCCACAACTTTTTCCCGCAACCCGACCAAAGTTTCCACACTGGTTTCCGCAAACACCACACATGCTTCCACAAAGTTGTCACCAAGACAACACGTGTTTCCACAACGGTTTTTTTCGAAAATGTATTTGGTCTGGATCCGGAACTTGCAGAAAAGCATTGCTTTTCAGAGCCCAGTGTTGTGGAACAACGTCTTCGTCTAGAGCCCAAATCTGCGGAAAAAGCGGCCCCAACCTTGCGGAAACCAGTGCTTGTTCGGAGCCGAAAGTTGTCGGAAAACCGGGCCTGGAATTGTGGAAAACGGCACTTGATAACATGACTTGCAAAAAAACTTTATAATTTATAAGCTGTTCATATAAAGGAAGCAAAAGTTTAAGAAACCTGTTTCATGCCCCCCCTTTTAAGGCACAATAGTACATATTCCATTTCTTGAGGTACCTTAGTTTCTATACAGCACATGCCACGGGATTCTAATGAGAATAGCACATTCCGATTACCCAGGCTTGACCCGCCCCGGCAGGTCAAGCCTGGCAGAGGCCATCGACTACTACTTCGTGAAAGGACCTCGGATGGATGACGTCATCGCCGGCTACCGCAGCATCACAGGCAGGGTTTAAGTTCAGTAGGGTTTACGGTTTAGGGGTTAGGGTTGGGTTTGGCAGGGTTTTGGGCCATTTTTGTTTCATGGGTAGGCTGTGATTTGTACACGCATCCCCGGCCAAAGCTCGGAGTTCGTCATTGGACCAGCGGACGTAGGGCCGGCAACAGTTCTGCTGGCGGTAAACCCAAACTCTAGGCCCTGGGCAGCTCTTGCGGCAGGTGTGGCACCTTTGTATGGAAAGTATGCCTTTGGCTTCTGGCAGTGCCGAGAGCACTATGCAAGCCAAGCAGAGCTTCTTGAGGCAGTAAGTCGCGGCGTGGTTAAGGGCGAATAAATGGTGATGTTACGATGTTGGTTTCCATATCGACTGTTGTCATTACGCACTCACTCCTGTAATGGGGTTGCTTGTGGGTAGCTGGCCGTGGCCTGCCACAACGACCACTGTTGTTGTCGTTGCAGAAGCTTGTGGAATGCAAGATTTCAGCGTTGTGTGTCATAGGCCTGCACATCGAGGAAAGATTCACAACAGACACCTTTCCAAGAGAAGTATTTGCTACCAAGCATACACTTCAGCGCACCAACCGGAGCCACGGGTTCACATGTCAGGCCGCCCATGGCTTTCGAGACAGATCCATCCCAGTGGATGCCATCGTGCAGGACACGTATAGGTTTTGAGGGGTATGTTCTAGCATGGTTATACAGGGACTTCCAAGGGGACGCAAGTACTAAGCTAGACAGAAGCATCTAAACGAGGTACTTCTTCACGAAGTTGAGGGAGAGCCTCGCTATAGGCCACAGCCGTAGGTTGAGCTCCCGATGTCATGAGGTATCCGTCAGGTCGCTGAGAGACTGAGCGACTCATAGGTGAAAGGGCATCGCGTTTGCAACTCAAGCCCTTTGCCAGACTTTTGTTCTGGTTCTAACTTGGAGAAAGGCACCCCCGAAGCAAGTCTGACTGTAACAACACCTGCAGGATGAAGGAATTGGCGGTTTATATCAGTTGATGGGGTGTGGTAGCCAGGAGCCTGCAAAAAAAGATCCTACTGTCCGAGGATCGCATGGTCCTTCACGAATGGTACGACTGGCTGAAGCTACTATGCTCCTGCCAACTTTTCAGAAACACACAAAAACATAATAACAATTCAAATGCACACAAAGCAGATCTGCCCATGTCCTGCAAAAGTTGTCGGCTGTCTTGTGCTGCTGCTGCTGGTTCCGAAAAGAGAACTTTCGAACCCGTGGACTTGCTCAGCAGGACTGGCTGTACTGGGGTGATCTCGGCTGGGGACCCGAGTGGGATCTGACGCGCTACCCCGACCCTGCAGGCAGGCTCCAATGCTCCAATGGGCCTTAGACCTGCCAGAAGCGAAATCGCAAACTTCGATTATTTTTTGGGGGCCTTAAAACAACCAAGACAGTATGATCCTCAACACAAGGTACGACAAGAAAACCTCAAGACGGTACTCCTATTCTTCTGCAGCCCCTATCTGAACGATGGCAAAAGCCAAAGCATCACTTGGCTTCACAAGTAGGGTTTCAGAGTTTGGGGGGTCTTCGTGGGTTTAAGGCTCTATTAGGGCTTTAGGGTCGGCAATGGGAGGACAGGGCTCAGGCAGGGGTTTGATGTTTGGATATTTAAGTTGTGACGGCTTGTGGGGTGTTGAGGGAGGGTAGGGGGAAAGCCATCACCAACCTCGAGAACAAATGCTGATCTCAAAATCTTCAAGGCTTCAGGGATTGAGGTGAAATCAAGGCACAAAGGTAAGGGAGGGAACTGACTTGCTTGCTCAATGAAGAAAGGGTCCGTGCACACGGGATTCGCGCACTTCTGCTGTGGATGCGTGAACGAGGATGCCTGCACAGGGAGTCGCAAACTCAAAACGGGATTCGGTCACCCACCGACCGTGATGGAATCGCTCACGGAAACAATTCGCGCACGAGCGCGGCAAATGTGCGCAGGGCTTCAAAAATTTCATAGGATAGGGATTGGAAAGTGTTGGACGGAAAAAAACTGTGGAAAAAAATGGGCTGCAGAGTCGGCAGCGAAAGAAAGAGGACAAAATGACTTCGCAGGTCGTTTTTGCCTCAGGGTCCCTAGCTGTAGGATCTAGCACGTCTTTGATTTGGCTGTAGTACTTTGGGGTTCTACGACCTACGGGTTCAGAGTGTGAGTACAGCTTCTGTCGTTTGCACAAGTCCAGATGGAAAAACACATAGGCATAGAACCCGACACCAGTATTTCAAATTCCACAAAGCGCCGCCAACACCAAACCCCGCACCGAAAAAGCTCCAATTTGTCAGGCATGGTCCAGGTGCTAAAGACCTTGGACATGACTTTGGGCCGCATCAAAAACGACAGTGTCCGTGGTCCACAGTGGTTAGCATACTTGTGTCCGCTGTTTTTTCCAGCTTCGTTGGATGCACAATATGCTGTTCTTGTTTGCGCTGGTCCTTGGATTAGTCACTTGGGGCTTGTGGCTGAGCAGCTGGAAATTCGTGGCTTCAACTCGTCTTTGCATGTCTTTTTGATTTTGTGGTGAGATGAATCCAACCCCCAGGTGGGATTGAGCCGAGAGTGATACTATTTCTAGGTCTCGAAGTGATACCCTGTTACCCTTTCCTTTGGGGGTTTCCATATTAAAGCTGGTAGTAGCAAAAGGCACACCTTTGATGTAAAGGGTCTACTGGGCAACCTAGATTTTAGTGTTAGCTCCTGAACCTATTTGCACTCCGTATCTACTGTGACCTAAACTGCTTGAGTGTACTGTAGGTCGGAATCTTAAGTATTATTGTTCCCCCCCGGATCTCTTATTACATTATCAGAATCACAACTATACTGTGCACTGCTATAGTATACCCCAAAACCCTGTTCCAATCGTTAAGGCACCCATATTACACACGATTTGGTCCAGTTCCACAGCAAAGATAAGCAGATCCTACAAGCTCCAAGGCTCTTTTGTGCTTATCTTCGGGCTTGTTGATGCCTTGCAGTTCGAATGATCTTGCTTCGGGTGTCCGAAAGAGTTCGGCATGGGCAGCTCTGACTTGGATAGACGCACGCGGTGCTGGCATTCTAGAACTGTAGCATGAGCAGTATTTGTAGAAGAAGCTATTTGTGAACCGCCACACCTTCAAAACCCTAAACTTTAAATCCTGCTCGACGGAAGCACTTAATTCTCTGGGACATGCCTGCAAGCCTCTAGGCTCCCCTGCCATGCGACCCAGTCAGCTAGGAGAGCCGCCAAACAAGCCTGCAAACTCTCGCAACACGTACATTCTTCAAAAAAAGGCTTACAGGCCGTAAAACCTTCTAAACCCCGAATGAGCCCTGCCACCCCCATTTGGCCCTGCATAGGCCAGAAGCGGTCACCAAGCCCACAGCTAGGAAGCTCATGGTCTCCGTTTGGGGCAAGTTCGACAACAAGACCGCCATCTTCAAGGTCGCTGAGTTTCGATGGTTTTGGGGGGTTTAGGGGTTCCTTCCCAGCTGATCAGCAGAGTCGGGGTTCAAAAGGGATTCCTTCAAGGGTTCCCAGTGAGGATGCAACAGGTTTAGACTTTAGGGGTCTAGGGCCCAGGGCTTTGAGCCAATACCTCCATCGCCATGGGACTCCTGAATCCCAAGAACCCAACCCTTTCAAGCACATCTCTAAGAGACATCAGAAGAAGGAATCCCAACAAGGGTAGCTTTTTATAGGGTTTAGTCTAAACCTTAAACCCTAAGCCTAGAAGCTTAAATCTCAACCTTGCATCGTAGGTTCGTCAGGGCCAGGCGGGAGGCAAAGAAGCCCTGAGGTTCGCCATACCCTAAAGCCCTGAAGGCGATGAAGACAGCTGGGATCCTTGGCGTTTATCGCGCTTTGGGGGTCCATGAAGTTCCCCTTGGTTCAGGCTTTTGGGTTGAAAGGGGGTTCGAGGTTTACAAGCTTTGGTCTGAATGGCTTACCTCCGTTTCTGAGTTCTCCAACGAAAGGCTAGATGCGGCTAGATCTCCTGGCTTCTTAACCGTTACCTAAACGTTAACTTCAGTGCGGTTTGGGAAAGCTCGGTTCAGCTGCGGCTGGACGCTCTGAGGTCATCCGCAGTTACACCATGGCGAGCTGCACGACCGTTCTTCTGTTCCCACCGGCATCATCATCATCATCATCACCATCATCATGCATCATCCTCATCCTCTTCATCATCATCATCATCTCTCTTCATGCTTTGCATTCTCAGCGTGAGTGTCATCCTCGACATGCCTTGCGTGATAAGAAACATAGTCATTAGCGAGTCTCTTCTTGAGCAGCATCGCGGCATCAGCAAGATCTGAGTACTCAAAGTCAAGAAGTGAAGAGACAGCAATAGGGAACCCCGAGAAGCCGTCCTCAACAAAAGCGTCATTATCATAATCTTCTTTTTTATCACCTGCAACAGCACTATCAACAGCATCCTGAATAATCAGAACACCATTGTGAAGAGCAACGTCCTAGCGCTCGTCGCCAAAGCTATCCTTGTCGTCGCCGTTATTGACTGTCTGCATCATGGTGACTGCAGACGTTGAGGATGGTGCTGGGCAACACCAACCAAACCAACAACAATTGGTACGACGCATGGAACCCAAACGCACAGAGCCTCAGCAGCACAATGTTCTGCCGTTTCCGGGCGAGATTCTGGCAGGTGAATACGGGTCAGGATTTAGTGGGGTCATGGGGTTTGGGACTTCTGAGAGCCGCCGAAACACGTTAATTGCATCATGCTGCCAAAATTGAACCTGCTAGCCCTTCCAATATTTCTTGCCGGGATGTTCGGAAACAGGTTCATGATTAGTGACAGCTGGCAGACACATTTCTTTCGATGGCCGCCATCAAAGCGGCCACGAGCATTCTTGGAGCAGTTGGCAAAGCTGAGTGGCCGCAGGTAAAGCACAGATCCCGTCTGCAAGACAGCATTTGTTGGAACAGAACGACAAACTTTAGACGGAGGTGAACTAGTGTACCTGGTAACGCTTTACTATTGTGCAGCACGGTGCCATGTCTCTGAACAAAAGATATTTTGCCATGAACAGACGATCATGTTGGTGCCTCTCCGTGCGCACTACGGGTTGTGCGGATATCCCATCACAGGGCTTTCCTCCGAAACGTCCGAGGGTCCGGAAGACTTAAGTCTGCCAAGGACCCTGTACTACGAATTCTGCAACAAAGCCCACTTCGCCATCGGCGTGGACTGAACTGTCTGAGAGTTCTGGATTCCATGATCCCTGCGTTGCTATGCATGGCTCATCATAGCTAGACTCTAGACCCCATGAAGTATAGTAGAATCATAAACTACTCGGAAGATGCCGTCTACCGACAAACCGAACTGCAGTGGTGCAGGGGCTAGAGAAATGGTGAGGCCAAACCACATGATAGAATGGAAACAGCGCGTGGCGAAGAGAGAACACACTAAAGGCTGAGAACTCAAGTCGTAGCTGTCTACGATCGTCATCCTGATGAGGAGAACAACGTAATTGAAGACCATACCATCATAGTCATGTAGTTACGAGTATCTGCGAACTTAAGCGAGATTCACATCATGAAACCCACCACAAAACCCTGTAGCAGCACAAAGCCACTGTGTCGTGAAGCAAATGAGACCACGTGGGAGGGGTGAGGCCTCAAACAAGCCCACTTCCCGACACTTGACTTCACAGGCCCCTGCGCCACAGAAGCCATATAAGCAGCCGTCAGACCGTGTGAGCCGTTCGTTCCTTCGGAAGCTGGTTTGCAAAGAGCTTGCGGCTTATCTTACGCAAACATACATCTTGCTACTTCGGTGTTAACGGCACGTGGCTCACCTACTGAGGAAGTAATGATGCCTACTGGGGTTCTGCTGGTCTCAAACCTGCAATATCAAAGCAGCAACCCCAATACAAATGAAAACACTCTCCTCTCACTTCATTAACTAATTAGTAACACAATATCCAACTATGATCTTCTAGATATTTACAGCAAAATACACACCAATTCCCTATGCGATCGGATCTGCTGGAGGGTGAGGTGGTGTGCAGGGCGGAGGGGTTGGGGGGGGGGGGGGGTTAAACGTCGCAGTGTTTCGATGCGGGAGTCATTTGACCTTCATGGCGCTGACATAATGCAATTTGTCCAGGCATATAGTTTAGTACTTTTCTTAAAGAGAGCCAGGGTGGGATCCCGGAAAATGTCGGCAGGAATTGAGAAGTCCGACTTATACCCTTACTCCATATCTTGCCACCAAACAACTCACATGCCATGTGCTCTGGCAGGAAAGCCTCTGGTTAGATGCGACGGAACCCGAGGGCCTCCCGAACATCGACCAGGAGGGCGAGAAGGGCTTGCCACAGTGCTAGCGTAGGATTTAGGGTTTAGGGTTTAGGGACCCTCAACCTCGTGTTGCTTTGACACTTCCCTGCTTCCGATCATCCGCAACAAACTGGACCTATGCCTCGCCAGGAGAGGCCCAGCGCGAGCACCGAAACCGAGCAAAACCCCAAATCTTAACCTTAAATCTGGTTGATGACTCGAGTTTCAGGTTTCATGTTGAACTTCTAATTTAGGAGCTTGGTGGAGGAACTCGTGGTTCCCGAAAGGGTCCTTGATACGGCTCCGAGGATGGAGATCTGAATTAGGATACTACTACTTCGGGCAGCATAAGCTAGGTAAAGTACAACGATGACACCCCAATCCCTAGACCACAAGCTCAAGGCCCTTATATCAAACCCGACGAGCCTCAGAAATCGGAGGAGACATTCCTGGGCTCCGGGAACCAACTTATGAACACCTTCTCCCTGGAAACCACATCGGGACGCTTGATTCCCTAAGGGGGTCTTAGTAAGGGTTCTGATAGGGGCTTCCTCACAGATACATTCGCAGATCTGGGAGATTTAGGAAAACTGCTGTAGAAGCTCGCAAGAACCTAGATGTTCGGGGTTGGAAGGGACCGGGCCGAGTACGCGTGTAGCTTTGACAAGGGCTTGGTGCAGGGTGAGAACGAAAACTATGGCAAACAGCGTCAGCAGGTCGAAGGAAGATACTGGCAGGTAAGTTGCGTCTTTTGGGTTTGCAGGATGGCTTCCGAAGCGCTGCAGAATGTGTAAGAAGCGACATCGCGAAGCAAAGACTTTGCGAGCCCATCTACTACGGCATGGCCCAAAAAGTGTCAAGCCAACACAGTTCCACCTCAACAAGAAGGGCGCTGGGGTTTGGTTGACAAAAAGCCCTGGGATCATTCGACGCTCTCTTTGCAACTTACCTGTTCCGCAAAATCCCCCATCTGATCGAGCACGTCCTACCAATACATCAAATCCCACTGGAACTGAGGAATTGCAAATGGATTGCGGAAGGATGCTTGGCAGACTGAAGGTAAAACCGCTCTGCTAACGAGTCAGAGAATCCAAGGCTCCAACCGGCCAGCGCAATGCCAACCGAGGATTACCCGACTGCTCAAGGTGCCCGCGTTTTCAGCTTGACGAGGACAGAGCCCCGCACCCAGACCTTTTAAATGATCCAATCGGTGGATCGCTTCCTCCGGACCATCTTCGGCCATATACTGCCACTGTAGGGAGGCTTTTTGGGGGGGTTCTGTTTCGTTCTTTGCCTTACCAAAGCCCCAACCCACAGTAGTCTCGGAGCGAGGGCACGGCAGCCTCGACATATCCTGCCCCGAAACTCTATCACATTGCAAGCCCGTTTCGGAACCATGACTGGACCATAACAGCCCTAAGCCCTAAACCGCGTGCAAGAGGCCAGGCTGAAAGCCTTGTCCATGTTTGTACCGCACAGCAGAGCACCATCCCGGCCAACCTTCGGAAGTCAAGGATACCTGATATGTTTGAGTCTGAGAGGTTCAAGTGTTTATAAAGCCTCGAAATGATCTTCAAGCCCGTCTCTAAATCCGTGGCCAAAAGTTTCAATGACTTATTTCGCGAGAAAGCGTTTTAAACAGCCCTAACCCCAATCTTTTGGAATCCTTGGTTGCAACCTGCGTAGAACTGTTTAAAACATCCCTGTACAGGAACCTTATTCCCAGCAATCATGAAGGCCGCTATATTTCTGTTAATCCTGAAAGTAGCCCATTTCAGGAACCTTAAAGGAACATTGCTCTTCCTATTAACGCCCCTTTGTTTTTGAACCCTGAAAGAAACCCTATAAGTAACCCTGATGTAGAACCCTTGTACCCCACAACCCTATTCTAATTTTCAATGCACGTATTTATACGTATTTAACAACAATATAAAACCTCCAAAGTCCCATAAAGCCCTTCCCAAACCCGCTGAAAGGCCCATCAAGCTTTCTAAACCCTGCATAAACCCAATCTTACGCCCCACAACAAACCCCGCAGAAAACCCTGCAGGAGCTCCTTCGCAGGTCAGCAGAAGACTGGAGCTGCCCTCTGGCGGCTGGGATGTGGAAAGACGAGATGTACGTTTTTCCATTACCTTATACTATCTTGAAACTTATTATCACATCTGTATGTATATTGGTATTTACGTTTGAAAATTTATCCGTGTCCAGACCATACATATGTTCGGATTATCGTTGCTTTTTTTATCTTTGTCATTTGACCAGCGTCTTTATCTCGTATCTTTGTGTATGCCTTGTCTCTTCATCTTATTGCTAATGTTATTATCATTATTACGAACAACAACGCTGACATTCATGCGAATGCAGACGTTAGTAATGAAAATTCTCTATAGTATATTACTATATCCAATTTATGTTTAGACTGGTTTGTACTATGTTGAGTTATGTTAGGTTATGTTAAGACTGTCCGTCATCAACCAGAAAGCCAACAGATCTGGGGTTGTGGCTGTTTGGCATGAAGACAAGGATCTAGGAGCATACCAGGGGTAGGGGTTAAGGGTTGTTCCAGCGAAATTCCGAAGGAGTGGAGACACCACACCCTAAACTGGGTTGAGGGTTGAAACCTGAACCCTGGGCTGTTTTAGCCGCTTGTTCCGAAGGACTGGAGACACCACAGCGAGTTGGGACATGCTTCGTCGGCAGGTGGCGAGTTCCATCAACTACCCGTGTCTCGGCTTGTCGTGGCGCGTGGATCTCTGCTGGCATGTTTAGGTTTGGCGGCTGGTCTCTGAACAACAGACACTAGCAATCAGAGTAAGAAGGCCAATTATTTTATAGTACAGTATAGTACACCCCAGTATCATGTTGTAATCAGCACGGACCCTAGTTTAGGTGCAGCGAGGGGTCTGGGAAGCCTATCTAATCTAAACACCACCTCACTACCGCGTAGTCTGCTCAGGATGTCTGGCATACCCTACTGGGCGCAGGACATCGGTGGAATCTCTGCCGCAATAGAAGCGAATGATTGACTAGCCGCTCCACAGATTTGGTCTGCAGCGCCATCAGGATCGCGAATACAAGAGATCAAACCTTAAAGCCGATTCCCAAAGCACTGACTGAGCTCGGGTACCTTGTTGAGGGTCTGCTTAATTAGGGCCTCAATTAGGAACCTTTGTTGGTATCAGTGAATCGTGACGTTCTGGTGATGCTGCGGGTGCAGGTATATGGCAACTACAAAGAATTCCATTGGCCCTTGCTTGAACTTCTGCGCTTGTTCCCAGCAGGTTTCTTCCGACCCAAAGATCAATACACTTCTGCCTCTTGACTGAAAGTCCTGTGCATCTGAGAAGCAACTTTCAAGTCGTGCCAGCACAGCACAGGATGATTATCGCAGACTTATGATTCGCTGGTTTCAGTTCGGAGTCTTCACGCCAATCTTCCGAGTCCACGGAGCGGGTACTCACACGGAGATCTGGAATTTCGGGAACACCACGATGGACATCGTCAACACGTCTGCTATTACCCTGAGATACCGGCTCCTGCCCTATGCAACTTTCTCCAGATCATGTGTTGGTGCATTTTTGAAGCGGGGACGCTAGCTGGTTTAAATAAAATATGTAGTGGCCTGGTCGCCCGCTTTCCTCGGAGACCGAGGTGTATTCTGGGTTTTGGCGCGTCGAAGCGGAGGCCTACACGATGCAGCGAGCTTTGGCCTTCGACTTTCCAGAAGAGGCATCTTTGGGCATTGCGGATGCTTACATGTTTGGACCCTCCCTGCTGGTGACTCCGATTGTTTCCGCCGGCGACTCCGGCAAGGCGACTACAAGACAGATTTATTTCCCGCAAGGCAGCTGGATTAATTTCCACACCGGAGAGGCGTATGGAGGAATGCAGAATGTCAGCTTCACTTTGCAGCAAGCTCCTTTCTTCTGCCAAAAGGGATCCCTTTTGGTTCTTGGACCCAGCATCCAGTCTACATCTGACCCGAATCCTGATCTGGAAGTCCGCATCTACCCCGGAGCAGATTCAACCTTTGAATTATTTGAGGATGACGGCTCGTCTACCAAATACCGCGAGGGCAGCTACTCGACCATAGTCTTTGCGTGGCAAGACAGCATCTCGGCTGCTCAGCATGACCCCATTCCCACACTTGCATCTGGTCAGTTTTGGTTCGCCCACTTTCGAAGACTCCATCAACTCTTCTCTGTTGCTGCGTCACTCCCAGACTCTGGCGCTATTGCTTTGAAGGTCTCGGGGTTCTAGGCGATCCTTGAACAGCCAAGCCCTCGAAGCGAGGGAAGGCTTGCAGACCTCAACCCTTTTCTCCTCCGTTCCAAGCTTTATAGGCTGCGTGGTGGAACTGTTGAACACCTTTGTGGGGGAGCATCTTCAACTGCTTGCTTGGTGTATAGGGTTTGTTTGAACCCATGGAAGGGCTTCGAGGGGGTCCAAAACAAACGGGATTCCACGGAGCGATTGGTGTCCACAGGGATGGTTCGTTCATGGTCGATCAGGTGCATGAGGGGCTACGAGGAACCAAGGATTGAGGCGGTTTTGGGCAGGGGGAGTACACGGGATTAGACTCTAAAGCGGTTGTCGCGGTTTGGCTTCACCGATTTCCAAAACCTGGTACCTAGGCACCCAGACGCTCCGAATTTCGAGCAGGAAGGGCGCTTACCCTGGCATGCCGCAAGCCAGACGGATCTGCACTGTAGTCGTTTCGCCTGGCCATGGTGTAGGCGTTTTCCAAGGAACCTGTGATCGGCAAGTTACGTATGCTGGAGAGGAGATCGCGATTGAGTTCCAAAGTTTGGATGTGGTGTAGGCCGGCTGAGCCGTCACCACACAGGATTTGCCAACAACCCTCGCTCCCCAGATGTCGAGGTGAGAAACGCGCCATCTTCTAGTAACTAGACTTATTATCCCAAATATATGAACCTGGATGGTACCCCTTGCAACAAGCATAGCACCTCTAATTGAACCGTAACTGTACCTCTTGTAGTAGTCCCAACTCACAAAGGTTGAAGCCTACAAGGAGACCGAGGGCTCAGACAGCATCCGACAGAGTCTCAAATACCGAGGCCTAAATGGTTAGCAGCATCAATCTTGAGGGTTCCTTCTTATCGAGAAACCACACTTTAACCCCCAAACCCTAGCCTAATAATTAAGAGCCTATTTTGCCGTCGCGGTACATTCGAAGTCAGTCCCAAAGGCCTTGTTTATGATATTTAGAGGCCGTGTGAAGCGGAAAACCTGCGGAGCCTCATTGACAGAGCCCTCCTGTTTAAAGAGCGGGCGCTGTCTACGGATGCAAAAGATGCAAAAACGAAGCCAAGCTGCTGCATGGCTGTGTTGTATTTTGACATTCAGGGCTTGCTCAGCAACGTCGACAGGAGCTTAAGGGTATGCCCCTGTAGGTCCTGCTGAGTTCGGGCGTCTTCGGGATGCGTGAGACCTGTTTAGGCTTCGAGGTTGATGTCGGGATCAAGTCCTCAACGAAAATCCGCACGAGACGAGACGCGAATGCTCTAATCTCCGAGTGCAGCTTTTCTGCAGCTCACGTCAGCCCATCAAGAATTAGCAAGGCCGTGGCAGTGAGAAGCTGGGCGATGTGAAATCACACTCCCGAAATGTACACCTGGGACTGGTCAAGCTTGATGATGGAACATTGTCGGATGCGCAGCTTGTTAGTCCCTCATAGCAAGGCTTTCGGAGTCTGAGCATGGGCGGATGTGTTGCAACAGTCGTAGGACCCCTTCTCCTAGTCCTCCATTTTCATTTTGGCACAAAAGGGAGCTTCGGGTCTACTCGCCGGAAAGTGGGACGGAAAAGCGGGCGACTGGAGGAGTTTTCTACAAGCCTGCGGTCCGAGGTTTGAGTTTAGGGTTAAGGGTGGGGAACTGATGGTTCCGGACTGGGAAGTTCTGCTGGACAGGCCTTGAACCTAAAGGGCTGCGTAGCAGCCCACGCCACAGGCGCTGGTTCCAGAGAGTCCATCGCGGGCGCTGGATGCACAGCTCTCGCAGGAGGCGCCTCGGATAGCAGGCCCAAGACTGGTGCTGATGTTCCCCCCGGGGCAAGAGGAGGTTATGGGGCTTGAGAGTATCACGGCCCTCGTGCAGAAACTCGGCGGCTTGGGGATTTAGAATTGTCTGTAACATTGAAACCTGAAGCCTAACATCAGCCCCGAAGCGTAAGGAGGTGGCACTGTTCAGCGAGGAGGCTTCCAGGCTCGTCTGCGACCTTGGAGTTCTCAGGAAGGGTTTGCATTTCGGGGCGGGTGAGGCCATGAGGAGTACGGGATACTTGAAGTTGCACAAAAGCTTGCCGTGGAAAGCTTTTACCAGAAACCTTATGAGCGGGCCCGTCTGTAACCTCCACTTGTCGCAAAGGTCTGACGGTCGAATGGAGGTTTGGGATTTCCTGGGTTTTGGGGCTGAGGGAATGCACTGCATCTCCATTTCCTGGAAGGTCCAATGGGCTGAAACCCGGGCTTGAAACGTGTGGCTCTAGTCCTCCTGCTGCTGGTGCTGCTACTACTACTACGACGACGACGACGACTACTAATGCTACTGCTGCTCGTACTACTACTACTCCTACTACTACTACTACTACTACTACTACTGACTACTACTACTGACTACTACTACTACGGACTACTACTA